GGGACAGGAGCAGAGGGAACGGCCTCAGGCTGGGCCAGGGCAGCTCAGGGGGGACAGCAGCAGGAATCTCCCCATGGAAAGGGGGCTCAGCACTGCCAGGGGCTGCCCAGGGGGGTTTGGAGTGCCCATCCCTGGAGGTGCCCAGGGAAGGGCTGGAGGTGGCACTCGGTGCTCTGGGCTGGGGACAAGGTGGGGATGGGCACAGCTTGGACTGGATGGGCTGGGAGGTTTTTTCTGACCTCTGTGGGTTTTGCTCTGGACATTTTGCCACCTGGGATGGTCTGCAGTCCCTCAGCACAGCTCTCAGGGTTGTGCAGAGAGTGCAGGGGGTGTGCAGACACAGCTCCTGGTAGGGACACTTGTGCTTGTAGAAGTTCAGCTGACCTGCTCTGCTCTCAAAAATAACAGAATTGCTCAGTTATGGACATAATTCATTTGTGTCCAGGAGCTTGGGAAGACTGGATGTGTGTCTGGCACTGGTTAGCTGGCAAAGCACATCCAGAGCCCCTGGATACTGGAATGTGCCCCAGGAACACAGACAGCAGTGTCCTGGCTCAGCCTGAGAGCTCAGCTGGCTCTGTCCCTGAGTTCTTTGAGTTTCAGAGAAAAGACTTTTAAACTCTTATTTCCAGGATGAAGTGGAAATACTGCAGTGTGGTTCCAGAGAGCTGAGCACAGTCCTGCCCCAGCCTCTGGAGCAATCAGGAGCTGTGACTTTGGCCATCCCTCCAGTTCCACATCCCTCTGTGCTCTATTAAACTCCAGTTGGCCTGTCAGGGTGAGCAATCACCACATGTTCCTCAGCCTGGTGTTACTGCCTGATAACACTCACTTCACCCCAAAGGTTGTTTAAAAGCTTAATTCACTTCTATAAAAGTGACACTTAATTTCAGTGAAGTTTGGCAAGCTTCTAGATCATCTAAAATTTATCATCTAGAGCAGGATCAACTCACAGCCAGCCTTCAGATGAGATGTTCTTGTCCTTTAGGTGGGAGCTGAGCTGAGCACTGTGAGCCTGCTCATAATTGAAGGGATCCTTTGTATATTAGACTGTGGAAATAATAAATAGATGGGTTTGTTCAGCTGTGGTACACAGGGTGGGGAACAGCAGGTCCCTCAAACACTGCATTGTTTGCAGGGTGCTGTATCCAAATGTGCACTTAGAGTTATTGGTCACGAGTCACAGCCCTTGGAGCAGGGGGGGATGTGATCACAGGGGCTCCTGGCACCCACAGCTCCAGACTTGGGGCCATCAGCAGGATTGGACTCGAGCTCTGATGGCCTTGGCAGAGCCACAGGGACGTTGTGGCAAAGCTGATGGAAGAGTGGAGCTGGCCTGAGCTTCCAGAAGGCTCAGCAGGAGCTGCAGTGTGGGAACAGGGCTGGACATCCTCAGGCTGGCTTTGAGCACAGTTTTTCTCATGTTTAATTTGAAGCTTTGCAGTAAGGATGTGCAGTCACATGTTTAATTTGAAGCTTTGCACATAGGGATGTGCTGGCACTGCTGAGGTCACACCCCCATCCTGGGGTCACATTTGGGCCCTCACTGCAGAGAGGACATTGAGGGGCTGGAGGTGTCCAGGGGAAGGGAATGGAGCTGGGAGGGCCTGGAGCCTCAGGAGCAGCTGAGGGAGCTGGGCAGGGGCTCAGCCTGGAGCAAAGGAGGCTCAGGGGGCCCTTGTGGCTCTGCACAGCTCCTGACAGGAGGGCACAGCCGGGGGGGTCGGGCTGTGCTCCAGGGAACAGGGACAGGAGCAGAGGGAACGGCCTCAGGCTGGGCCAGGGCAGCTCAGGGGGGATTTGGGGGAAATTCCTTCCTGGAATTTGTTATCCAGCCCTGGCACAGCTGCCCAGGGCAGGGTGGAGTGCCCATCCATCCCTGGAGAGGTTTAACAGCCCTGTGCATGTGGCACTTGGGGACATGGGGCAGTGCTGGGGAACAGTTGGGTTGATGATCTCTGGGGGTTTCCCAGCCAGAACAGTTCTGTGATTCTGCGACACTCCCAGTTTCTTGCTCAACCTTTTGTCCTTTCTTTTGCCCCAGACTGCTCTGCTGCCTCCTTCCCAGAGTGCAGCCAGTGCTGGAAAAGGCTCTGCAGTCCTGTAGAGTCTCTGCTCACTGGCAGCAGGGGTGGGACAAATGTCCAGCCTTGGTCTCTGGTATTTTCTCTCATTCCCAAGTGTCAGAAGCTTGGCAAGGCCAGCACCTTGTGCTGGGTGACCACACCTTCTCCCAGTTCCCACAGGGTGCAGGACCCCAGTTCTGTGCCTTTAGGGTTCTGCACATCTCTGCTGCTCCCTGCTGTCACCACAGCTGGGACTGCTGGCAGTGACAGAGATGAGTAACCCCCCTCTCATCCCCAGAGCTGGCTGGTGTTTGTAAGACTGTTTTGATGTTGAATATGTACAATTTTCTTGGCTTTTAAAGGAGCTGTGGGTGCTCCACATGGTGGAAGTTGATTTAAGGAACCTAAGAGAAAGTGCTGGAGCTCTGGAGCTTGGCACCTTGCTCAGTTCTGCTGCTTCCTCTCTTCCCTCAAACAGCTCAGTAGCAGATCTGGGTGGGCATGTCCTATTTCCAATGTAATTTTTCTGCAAAACCCATTTGAAAGCAGCCATGTTGCTGTTACTGACAAGTGATCTGTGAGAGAATAATCTTCTATGACTGGTGGTGCTGGATTTGGAGAAATGGGAAAAATAAGGCTTGGATGTGCTGGGTGACAGCAGCAGAGTGTGCCTTGGACAGCTGTGTCATGGGGAGGAGGAGTGCAGCACCTTTTCAGCTCTCATCCACAAATCCTATAAGGACACACATTTTAGCAGGGAGGTCTCAGCTGAGATTAGACCTTGCTGGACAAGCTGTTTGCAGAGGAAAGCTGCAGCAAGAGGCAGGGCAGAGCAGGGCAGGGAGGTGTTGGGTCCCCGCCATTGCAGCTCTGTGTGTGTGGCTGTGCCCTGCACCCTGCACCAGCCTCCTCTGAGTGTGAGCAGTGTGAGGTGAGGGTGTCCCCAGGGCTGCACGTGGCTTTGGGGACTGGCTGTCACAGAGTCCCAGAGTGGTTTGGGACCTTAAGGGGACAGGGCAGGGACCCCTCCCACTGTCCCAGGCTGCTCCCAGCCCTGCCCAGCCTGGCCATGGGCACTGCCAGGGATCCAGGGGCAGCCACAGCTGCTCTGGGTACCCTGTGCCAGGGCCTGCCCACCCTCACAGGGAGCAATTCCTCATTCCCAATATCCCATCCATCCCTGCCCTCTGGCAGTGGGAGCCATTCCCTGTGTCCTGTCACTCCAGCCCTTGTCCCCAGTCCCTCTGCAGCCTTCTTGCAGCAGAGGTCACTCTGCCTGTGTGTTCCAGTGTGAGGAGCTGGATCAAACCCCACCAGTGGAGTGGGCAGAGGAGCCTGGGCAGCTCCTGCTGGCTTTGAGTGGCAGGAGCAGAGCATTGTTTGGTTCCCTGTTAGCCCTGTCTGTGTGCACACAGTTTGATTTCTGCCTGCTGCAGCTGCTGTGGCATCTGCTGCTCCTGCAGTTCCTGGCTGGCTCAGTGTCCTTGCAGGTGTCAGGGACTTGGAGGTGCTCTCAACTTGCTTTGGGGCCTTGCTGTGCCACAGCAGCTCAGGGACAGAGCAGCAGGGCAGGGCACTGGTGCTGCTGTGCAGGAGCTGAAGGCCAGTTTGCTGAGCTGGAGGCTTTTTCCCTGTTGAGTTTGTGCTGGTTGGCAGGAAGAAGGCTTGACAGCTAAAATGTGATATTTTTCCTTGCCTTGAAAGTGTTAATAAGAGCAGCAGGAAGGTGCAGTAGGCAGCTGGGAGGTGCTGAGTCTGGGGACAGCCAGGCCAGTGACATGTGAATGCCACTGCGAGGGATACAGCGAGGTGTCTCAAATCCCTCTTATTTTTATGCTGATTTTGAAGGGACTTTTAATCCTTCAGACATATTGGCCTCTAAGCACTTTTCTCAAAGAGGAATATAACCCCACTCGAGCAGATTGGGTAATAATAGCACTTAGTGCTTAACGAACGTTGTGCAATTAATCCTCCAGGGCTCATTGGAGTCGAATTGTGTTGATCTTGGCTGGGGACTGAGGAGCTGATCTGAGCTCAGCTTTCCTGTGGGTGTGGAGGAGCAGCTCCCTCCCCGTGGAGCTGGTGAGGCTCTGGGGGGCTCAGGCTGAGCCCTGGCTGTGTTCCCCTCCCAGCTGCTCCGGGATCAGCTCCTGTCCTGCAGGCTGGGACAGGGGTCCTGGCTGTTCTGGGCTCATGGCCTGGGGCCAGGGAGATGCTCCTGGCTCCCTGTCCTGCTCCTGGGTCTGTGAGCTGTCCCTGGCTTAGCCAGGCTCTGCCATCCTGTCCATGCACCTGATTCAAACCAGCCTCACCCATGCCAATCCATGTCCCACTAAAATAAACCATTTGCAGTAGGCTGAGGTCCCTGGGTGGCACTGCCATTGCTGGTTGTCACAGACATCTTTTGTGAAAAATCCTTTCTTTAGGATTTTTCCCCTTTCTGAGAAGCTGTGGCCTCAGCAACAAAATGTAAACAATGGTTATCTGCTGCTGTGGAATGCAACAGGTGCATCTGGGATTGGTCTCGGGTGGATGTTTGGATTTACTGACCTCATGGATTTACAACTCATGGCAGAGCTGTTCTTGCTTTCTGCCTGGACACAGAACTTTGTTATTCATTCTTTTTCTATTCTTAGTTTAGCCAGCTTCTGAGAACTTTTCCTTCTATTTCTTTTTAGTATAGTTATAATGTAATATATGTCATTAAATAATAAATCAAGCCTTCTGAGCATGAAGTCAACACTCTTGCCTCTCTCTTCGCCCTGAAAAACCATTGCAAGCTCAGTAACAGCTGGTGGTGTCACCTTGGGGCCAGTGGGGAACAGCAGCATTGAGTCCACAGTGTCCATCACTCTGGGTACCACTTGGTATATTTTGTGTGTCAATTCCTGCAGGCTGACCTCAGTTGTTTGATGATTTGTGCTTTGTTTTCAGGCTATAAACTCATTGGGAGCCATTCTGGGGTGAAGCTGTGCCGTTGGACAAAGGTATGTTCTGTTTCCTTTTCCTATTTCATAAATAAAAACAAAGCTAGAGACTTGCTCAGGTATTCCAATTTCCTGATGAAATTACATTTTAAAATGTGCTATTATTTGCACAAACCCAATTTCAAGCTATAACCTTGCATTTCCAGCTATTAAAATTCTTCCGCAAAGAGTGAGAATAGAGTTGTGGCACAGAGCTGGGAACATCCTTTTCTGATTTTTCCTGTTGTTCTGCTGTCTGCTAAAACATCTTCTTCCCCCTGAAATCCACGTGAGGGAGGAGTGGGAAGCTTGTATCCCTGTGTGAGGCTGTGGAGCAGGGATAGCACAGCCACTGCCCCACCTGAGCAGGCACATGAGGCTGTTTGAACCCCCTGTGCTGGGGCTGGGTTGTCACAGGGCTCCTCTGGCTCTCAGCATTTATCAGATCACATTTCCACGGGAGGTGTTCACATTTTTACTGTTGCAAATGATTTCCCTGCTCTGTGGGGTGTGTGTGGGTGTGGCTGTGAACACCCATGGGTGTGAGTGCACCTGTGTGACACAGCCCACTCCCAGCCCTGCACATGGCTCCTGGAGGAGCTGGAACCCAGTAGCTTTTCAGTTTCCAGACTTGAAAACATTCCCAGCAGAGCCCTGGAGAATGAACTGCAGCCCCTTCAGGGTGAGTGTGGTTCAGCTGTCCTTGGCAGGTCCCTCTGGAGCTCACAAGTCTCTAGGGTTGTGTATTTGGGGAGCAATATTGATCAGAGAATCACTGAGGGTGGAAAAGCCCTCTGAGATCACTGAGTCCAACCGTTCTCCCTCCCAGCACTGCCAAGGCCAGCACTGCCCCATGTCCCCAAGTGCCACATGCACAGGGCTGTTAAACCCCTCCAGTCACAGAGACACTGACACTGCCCTGGGCAGCTGTGCCAGGGCCTGACAACCCTCCCAGGAAGGAATTTCCCCCAAATCCCCCTGGCCCAGCCTGAGGCCGTTCCCTCTGCTCCTGTCCCTGTTCCCTGGAGCACAGCCCGACCCCCCCCCGGCTGTGCCCTCCTGTCAGGAGCTGTGCAGAGCCACAAGGGCCCCCTGAGCCTCCTTTGCTCCAGGCTGAGCCCCTGCCCAGCTCCCTCAGCCCCTCCTGGGGCTCCAGACCCTTCACCCACCATTTTGCATCTTCCTGCACCCTTGAGCATCCCTGGGTGGGAACCCCTGGAATCAGCACCTCATTAGGATGCCAGCACATCTGTGATTCCTGTGCTGTGGCAGTGATCAGTCCTGGCTGTCTGAGCTCTCCTTTGCTGCATGATTAGCTTTGTTTATTTTTGAAAGAGCCCTTGGGATGCCATCCCAGGGTGGCTGCAGAGAGGTTTCATTGCAGTGCCTGCTGTCAGTGAACTGTTTCATCAAGAGCCTTGTTCTCCTGAGCAGCATAGAGAGCCCACCCTGGGCTGTCAGGAGTGTGTGGGATGCACTGATCCCACTGCTGCTCTGCTGGTCACTCTTGCACCCATTTCCCTCTTTGTCACTGTTAGTGGCAGACATGATCAGGAAAAGTTTAAAGAAAAACTTCCATGTTGTGTCTGAGAAGGCCAGAGAACCTATTTTTATGAAAGACCCAGACTTTAATGCAGCACTGTAAAGCCATTTCACAAAATAAATAGCAGCTCTGTGTGCTTAGATGGGCCCACACTATTTTTAGCTTAAGCAGGAATTGGATGTAAAGTCTTCTAATAAATTGAGCTGAGATTGGTTCCAGGCAGTGGCTTTGCCTCAGGTTCACACCAGTGTGTGAGAGCCTCCAGGAGCTTTTGTGGGGATTTGTATCACAGGAAGGCAGGAGCAGGGCTGGCAGGATCAGTATTAAGTGGAGTTTCATAGAGGTATCTCAGATGGAAAAGATTGGGTTCTGTCAAATTCCAGAAAAACAGAAACCCTGTATGTTTTAGGAAGAGTCTGTTTGCCGTAGGAAATGCCAAATATAACTTGCTCTCCTGAATTTGTGAATCTCCTGAAGTCTCTCTCATTTGAAGAATGGGTAGAATCAACAGCATTTTCCATGTCATTTAATCTTCCACCTGTACAGCCAGTCAGGGATTAGCTGTAGATTTTTCCCTGCTGCTCCTTTCTGTTGGATCACCAGGACTCTCCAGGAGGAGGAAGGCAGATTGAAAGCTGCTGTGTTGTATTTCAGATTTTCTCTTGAGAGGAGTAAAGTTTCTTTCTCATTTATTATTATTTAACTGAGCTAATGAAAGACAGCCCTTTCTGCAAGCTGCCTGCATGATAAATAGGAGTTGAATCCTGTTGGGAAAGCTGCTGTGGCTGTGCTGGGAAGGGAAGTGCAGCATCCTGCTGGAGCCACTGCTGGCTGTGAATGAGGGCTTATAAGGTCAGGGCATTTATTTAATTTACTGCTGCAAGAAATACTCTGCCAGATAAATGAAAAGAATGGAGTGTTCAGTAGGACAGCCTTGAAATGGATCCTTGTTGCTCCTGAGTGAGCTTTTCCAGGAACATTTCCTGCAGCTCAAGAGGCTTCACCTGCTCCTCATGGGCTGAGGCTGGAAAGCTGCAGGAGAGCACATTGTTGTGCTGGGGTCTGCTAGAGAAGGGACTGAGCAGCTTAAACCTCTTTCTCCTCTAACCCTGCAGCAGTCTGAGCTCCTAAATGCAGTCTGGCTGCAGGGGTGCATGTAAAGAGTCACACTTTATAGGCAGCTGGGAATTTCTTGGGGCAGGTGGCACTGGTGTCCCTCAGCCCTGCTCAGGGCATTGCTGGACTTGGAACTCCAGTCACAGGTGGCTGAAAGGGAGCAGATCCACAGCTGCCCTCAGTTTGGCTCCAGATGGGGAATTTTAACTCTCCTGCTGTGTGTTTGTGTGTGTGTGTGCCCTCAGTTTGGTTCCACATGGGTTTTTAGCTCTCCTGTGGAGTGTGTGTGTGTGTATGTGTGTGTGTGTGTGTGTGTGTGTGTGCCCTCAGTTTGGTTCCAGCAGGGTTTTTAGCTCTCCTGAGGGGTGGATGTGTTCCCCTTTCCTCAGTTTGGTTCCACATGGGTTTTTAGCTCTCCTGTGGAGTGTGTGTGTGTGTGTGTCTGTGTGTGTGCCCTCAGTTTGGCTCCAGATGGGGAATTTTAACTCTCCTGGTGTGTGTTTGTGTGTGTGTGCCCTCAGTTTGGCTCCAGATGGGGAATTTTAACTCTCCTGGTGTGTGTTTGTGTGTGTGTGCCCTCAGTTTGGCTCCAGATGGGGAATTTTAACTCTCCTGGTGTGTGTTTGTGTGTGTGTGCCCTCAGTTTGGCTCCAGATGAATTTTTCGCTTTCCTGAGGGGTGGATGTGTTCCCCTTCCCTCAGTTTGGTTCCAGCTGGGTTTTTACCTCTCCTAGGTGTGTGTGTGCTCCTCTGCCCTCAGTTTGGTCACAGATGGGGAATTTTAACTCTCCTGGTGTCTGTGTGTGTGTGCCCTCAGTTTGGTTCCAGAGGAATTTTTAGCTCTCCTGTGGAGTGTGTGTGTTTCCCTGCCCTCAGTTTGGCTCCAGATGGGGAATTTTCACTTTCTTGTTGTGTGTTTGTGTGTGGGGGGCTGAGTGTGTGCCCTCAGTTTGGTTCCACATGGGTGTTTAGTTCTCCTGTGGAGTGTGTGTGTTCCCCTTCCCTCAGTTTGGTCCCAGCAGGGTTTTTAGTTCTCCTGGGGGTGTGTATGTTCCCCTGCCCTCTTTTTGGTTCCAGATGGGGTTTTAACAGTCCCTGTGTGTCCCTGTGTGTTTCCCTGCCCTCAGTTGGGTTTTTAACAGTCCCTGTGTGTTCCCCTGCCCTCATTTTGGTTCCACATTGGTTTTTAGCTCTCCTGGGGATGTGTGTGTGTTCCCCTGTCCTCAGTCTGGCCCCAGTTGGGTTTCTGACCCTCCCTGTGTGTTTCCCTGCCCTCAGCTGGGTTTTTAACAGTCCCTGTGTGTTCCCCTGCACTCATTTTGGTTCCACATGGGTTTTTAGCTCTCCTGGGGATGTGTGTGTGTTCCCCTGCCCTCAGTTTGCCCCCAGTTGGGTTTCTGACCCTCCCTGTGTGTTTCCCTGCCCCCAGTTGGGTTTCTGACCCTCCCTGTGTGTTTCCCTCCCTCAGGCCATGCTGCGGGGCCGCGGGGGCTGCTACAAGCACACCTTCTATGGCATCGAGAGCCACCGCTGCATGGAGGCCACCCCCAGCCTGGCCTGTGCCAACAAATGTGTCTTCTGCTGGAGGTGAGGCACCCCTGGGCTCTGTGGGACACAGCCAGCTGTGCTCTGAGGGGGATGTGGGCTGTCTGTGTTCCTGGGGCACATTCCAGTATCCAGGGGCTCTGGATGTGCTTTGCCAGCTAACCAGTGCCAGACACACATCCAGTCTTCCCAAGCTCCTGGACACGAATCAATTATGTCCATAACTGAGCAATTCTGTTATTTTTGAGAGCAGAGCAGGTCTGCTGAACTTCTACAAGCACAAGTGTCCCTACCAGGAGCTGTGTCTGCACACCCCCTGCACTCTCTGCACAACCCTGAGAGCTGTGCTGAGGGACTGCAGACCATCCCAGGTGGCAAAATGTCCAGAGCAAAACCCACAGAGGTCAGAAAAAACCTCCCAGCCCATCCAGTCCAAGCTGTGCCCATCCCCACCTTGTCCCCAGCCCAGAGCACCGAGTGCCACCTCCAGCCCTTCCCTGGGCACCTCCAGGGATGGGCACTCCAAACCCCCCTGGGCAGCCCCTGGCAGTGCTGAGCCCCCTTTCCATGGGGAAATTCCTGCTGCTGTCCCCCCTGAGCTGCCCTGGCCCAGCCTGAGGCCGTTCCCTCTGCTCCTGTCCCTGTTCCCTGGAGCACAGCCCGACCCCCCCGGCTGTGCCCTCCTGTCAGGAGCTGTGCAGAGCCACAAGGGCCCCCTGAGCCTCCTTTGCTCCATGCAGGACAACCTGTCATCAACTCAATGACTCCCCATTGGTCAGGAAAGTCTCCCCTTTCCTCAGAGAAGTGACTTTGTGGTGAATTCCTGAAGGAAATGAGCTGTGCTGGATCTGAGCTTCTCAAGCACTACTCACTCACTCCTGCCTGGGCTCCAAGGGAGGTGTGTGCCAGGCTGGGGGAGTGCAGGGTGGGATTGGGAGGAGAGGCTGAGGTTCAGCAGAAATGCCAGCAGTGACGTGAGAGCATCTGCAGTGGGAGGACAGGGAGGTTTTGCTTTGAGCTCTTTTGTTTTCCACCTTGCTAAATCATCCCATGGGAGCTGTACTTCCTCTGGGACTGAAACCTTACCCCAGGCTGCCAATAACACCCATTCCATCCCCAGCATCCCAGTGAGTATTCCCTGAGCAGCCTGAGCCAGTGGAAGCTGTCCCTGCCATGGCAGGGGGTGGAATGATGTGGGCCTGAAGGTCCCTTCCCACCCAAACCATTCTGAGATTCTGTGATAAAATTTCCATGCAAAACCAACCAAATTCCTCTCTCTGAGTGCCCCTTTCTGTCTTTCATAGTCCTTGGGTTTTAATAATGCAGATATTTCATGGGGGCATTTAAAGGGCTTGGGGACAGCTTGAAGGCTGTGAGCATTGGACACTGGGCATCCTGTGCAGTTGGCATTTAGGAGTCTGTTCCAAAGGGTTTGTGGGTGCTCTGGATGGGCTTTCCTGGCTGGGAAGGAGGCAGCAAATGGCACCTTTGATGTGCAGCTTCTGCTTTGCTTCAGAGCAGGGCAGCGCCTGGGAAGGAAAACCTCCTGCCTGTGTCTGTTTTCCTGTGCTGGGAGGGACATTGCCCTGCCTGTGCTTGTCCCTCTGTCCCCACACACATCCTAAGGTACATCTAAACAGCAAACAGGATGAGGGGCTTTGTTCCCAGCATTGCTCCACAGAGCATTTCCCAGTTTCTCTTCCAAATGCCCTCATGCAGGATTTTTTGGCAGCAGCCTGGATGAGGAATAGGCTGAATCAGGGAAATGCAGCAGGTGTGAACGGGAGAGTGCAGGAACTGATAAATGAGATAGTACAGCTTTATCAATAATTGATAAATCAGTCCATTAGTGTAGAGACACAGAGAAAGTGGCACTGTTCCCTGTATCTCCAACTCATCATCCTGTCACTGTCACCTGTCACTTCAGAGGGGTCTGGCACTGCAGCCTGATGACAACGAGTGCTACAGTGCTGATTTTCCTGCTGGCTACAACCTGAGTGCAAGGAAGCAGCTTCCCAGGACACTGAGCTCGGGGCTTTCAGCTTTGATTCATTTATTTCCCTGCTCTGGGTGAGGTGCTGGCAGGTGTTGGACTCTCCCATATGGAAGGCAGCTGGCTGTCCTCAGCCTCCCCTGGAAACTGGAAGGTTTAAGTTGGAAGATTTAAGGCTCAGTTTGAGGCTCATCCCAGGACATTAAGCTTGACTTAAACCAGAACTGCTGCTGAAAGAAGATTTCTTTTTGGTGATTTTCCAGCTCCTGTGCCTGGGCTGCTGCAGCCTTCGCTTGGCTGTGAGAGGGATCTTCCCTCCCTCCTTGCCACTCCCAATATTGCCCTGCTGGTCCTGTGCCCCCCCAGCTCCCAAACCCTGCAGTCAGGCCTGTCTGTGCTTGTTTTGTCCCCCACACCTTGCAGGTTGTTCAGTGTGTGACACTGAGGTGGAGCTGCAGGCCCTGGTGGCTGGGCAGGATAAACAAGGCAGCTCCTGAGCAGCAGGTGCCATCTGTGCAGACATGTGAAATCCCAGTTTTGATCTGCTGCTGGCACAATGTTCCTCATGCAGGTGTTGTGCTGGGCTCCTCGTGCAGATAAGGCTGCTGGGATTCTTTCTTCTTGATCTCTTCTTTCAGGATTTTGACATTTGTAGGTTCTGCCAATGTTTCCAACTGCACAACCCCCGAGCTCTCCCTGGATGGCTGAAGGAAAGGCCAAGGAGCCTGTTTGTTTTCTCTTCCTCATTTTGGCAAGAATGCTGCAGTGCAGCTGCTCTCCCTGGGAGCTGGATGTCACTGGAGCTGGCTGGTCCTGACTGACACATTCTGGCCCCAAACCAGCACTGATGGAATCACAGACTGGTTTGGGATGGGGCCTTAAAGAGATCAGTTCCAGCTGCTGTGGGCAGGACACCTCCACTGGAGCTCAGTATCCAAACATGCTCAGAAAATGAGGGGATTCTGTCAGAGATGTGGCTGCACTCTGCACTGGATGCTCTTCTGTTCCCCTTGTCCCTGGGAGCTGTCACAGCTGCCAGGGCCCCTGACTGGCTCTGCTGTGCCCTGCAGAGAGGCTGGCACTGCAGGGCTGTGGGGACAGGAAAAGCAGACTGGAAGCTGGGCCAGGGCAGGCTCAGGCTGGATTTCAGAAAAGACTCTTTCCCCAGAGGGTGCTGGCACTGCCCAGGGAATGGGCACAGCCCCGAGGCTGCCAGAGCTCCAGGGATGCCCAGGGTGGCATTGTTGGGGTGTCTGTGCAGGGCCAGGGCTGGACTGGATGATCCCTGTGGTCCCTTCCAGCTCAGGAATTCCCTGATTCTCCAAGGTGGATTGTTTGGTGTCACCCAAGGCTAGTCTATCAAAGCACTGAGGAGGACACCCCACACCTGAATCACTGCAGTGTCCCCAGCCATAATCCTGTCCTTCAAGGGAGTCTGTCCCTCTCCATCCCTGCTCCCAGCTGCTCTCACTGAGGCTGTGTCTCTTTAGCTTAATTGCCTAAATGGAAATGTGCAAGTGACCAAATCTTTTAATCAATTAGAGCAAGTGTGGGTTCTGAGCTCTGTGACACCTCCCTGCAGCACAGGCACCAGGCAGACCTGATTTGATGAGGGTTTTTGGCTCAGTGTCCAACACCCAATCAATTATTGTGGAGAGAGGGAACAGCTAAATAAGATTTAAATTAATAGGGTTTATTATTTTTGCATCTGAGGAGGAGGCAAAGCAGACAGAGTGAAATATCCTGTGAAGAAATTGGCTCGTATTTCTTCTGCTGTAACTTTAATGCTTATACCTGTGCATGGAGGTTTCAGGTTTTGCTTCTAGACAGCAACTGAAGTTGTGTTCAGACACTAAATCAGTGGGTGGCCAAAATCCAGGCATCACAGTAAGCCCTGCAAAATACAGAGATTAAAACTGAATAATCTCTCATAGGAGAAGTACTTAAGGTCTTTAAAAAATTAAGAAGAAACTGAAAACGGATGAAAACCAAAGCTTCTCCTCAGTAACTAACGTGATTCCAGGGGATAATTCCTCAGGGAAATGGGGAATATTGATATCAAAGGAGTGGACACTGCAGGTTTGGAACACCTGGAAGCTGAGCCTGAAAGCTCAGAGAGTCTCTGTGCATGTCCAGCCCCCAGTCCTGGTTCTGCTGCTCTCTTCTGCCAGGTTTCAGTTTGGTTATGGTTTTGTTTCCAGAAGGGACCTGTTGTGACCAAGGTTCATCCCTCACATTGGATTCTTCACTGGTTTGTTGAGTTTGGGCCTGTCTGTCTGCCAGGGGCTCCTGAAATGACCAAATAAATGTGGTGGGGGACAGCACATCAATGTGCCCAGTTCATGCCCCTGGTAAAAAAAGTGGTAAAAAAAAGTCTTGGTGCCTTCATGTGCTGCTCTGCCAGCTCTGTCATCTGAGGCATTTCTAGGAGAAAATGTGTGGGTTGAAATCTCTGATTTTCATTTTATAGCACTTTGTATTCTCCTGGACTTGGACTTCTTAAAGGTCCTGGGAGTTGTTGCAATCAGCTCCCAAATTTATGGGCTCAGTAGTGAATATAAACAGATTATGGGCTGTGAAATGTCCACCCTGGGCCTTGGGTGTCCCTGCAGGGGATGGTGCCAGGTCCAGCAGTCAGTGATGAGGGGCAGTGACTGGGGGCTTTGGAAGGGAATTCGCACATTTTGGCATCCAGGTGAGTTCTGGAATGGTGTGGGAAGCTGTGCTGGGCAGGGCTCAGGGATGGGGTAAATGGGCACAGCACAGCACACTGAGCATCACCTGCCTTGCAGGAGATCCTGCTCTTTAAAAAGGGAGATCTCAGAGCTGGGATGGAGCTTTTCAGCATGGGGCATCTTCCATCCTCAAGGTTTCAGTTGGAAGAGAATCACAGAATTCTTTTGTTGGAAAAGCCCTCTGAGATCCTTGAGTCCAGGTGTTCCCCCAGCACTGCCAAGGCCAGCAGACCCTGTCCTCAAGGGCCACATCCATGGGACTTTTAAACCTCTCCACCACTGCCCTGTGACACCTTTGCCATGAAGAAATTTCCCTTAATACCCAGTCTAAGCCACCCCTGGCAGCCTCTGGTCCTTTCAGACAATTTATCCAGCCTGCTCCAGGGTGACTTTGCCCATCCTAGGGACAACATTAAATTCAGGTTCTGTATCTCAGTCCTGGTCCCTGCCCAGCCCAGGCTGGGCTCCTCCTGTTGCTCTCAGGAGGTGCAGAAGAAAAGGATTAGCCAGGTTTCATTTTGTATCCCAGGAACATTAAACATGGCTGGCTTGTGCATTGGCCAAGCTTTTTTTGTGCTCTCCCTCCTTCTCCTGCCATCACTCCAGGGAAAGTCCTTGGGATCCCTTCTGTGTGTCCTTTCCTGGCCATGGCTGATGTTTTGCCTTCCCCTTTCTGCTGATGCCCCTGTGGTTTTGTGCTCCTTCTTTTGTTTGCAGCTGGAAGCTCACGAGGCTGCAGAAGAGCAGATTGATTTTGTTGTTTTGTCTTTGCTTTTTATTGCTGCAGTTTGCACTTCTGCCTTGGTAGGGCTCCCAAAACTGCCAGTTCTCCTGAAGTTCTTTTCCCCTCAGCTCTTCTCCTCTGAGATCTCCCTGCTGGCTCTCAGGATTCACTGAGACTGCTTCTTGAACTCTTCTTGTTTTTATTCTGCTCCTGCCCTCCCTGGGAATGGTGTGCTCTGTCCTCTCATGTCACTGCCACCAGCACTTCCTCACCTTCCTATTCCTCACCAGGTATCTCCCTGGCTCAGTCAATGCCTGCAGTAAATGATATTTTATACCTGAGCTGTATCTGCCCTCAGAGCCTCTTAATAACCATTTGCAGAATGCATAAAGCAAAAGCTAATTTATTAAAATAAACCAAGCACCTGGGGAGGCAGATCACAGCCCTGGGGAAGCTGCACCTTCACAGGGGTCCCAGAACCTGCCAGGGACACTGGGAATGCTGTGCCAGGCTCCTGGTGGATCAGAGGTGAGCTGGGAGTGCAGGGAAGCTGGATGGGAGCAGGCTGGGGGGGTTTCCAGGGCAGCCAGCAGGAGCTCCCATCATGTTCCCTGCAGTCGTGGGGCTGTGGCACTCAGGTGTCTCTGAAGGAGCAAACCTAACCTGTTCCACACCTGGAATCTCTGCTAAAATCAAGGTTTTCTGCTGGGTGTGGGTTTGGGTGGAGATTTCATTTAACTTGTGTTACTTTGGGAAGGAAGGAAAAGGAAAAAGGAGAAAGGGAAAGGAAAGGAAAAAGGAGAAAGGGAAAGGAAAAAGGAGAAAGGGAAAGGAAAGGAAAAAGGAGAAAGGGAAAGGAAAGGAAAAAGGAGAAAGGGAAAGGAAAGGAATCCCTGACAGCAATTCCTGCTCAGTGCTGGTGTGGCCAGAGGTGGGAGCTCACAGAGCCTGGGGGCAGTGGGATGGTGGCTCTGGTTTCTGTCTGTGCTGAGACTGGGGAACAACCTCCTGAGCCCAGGGAATTACTGCTTTATCCTCCTCTTGGCAGGGAACCTCCTTTTGCCAAATAAGCAGCTCTGTAGACCTGACCTGGTGTGTTTATTAAACAGTAGGATGTGTTAAAAATGCAGGGCCTGTTGGACACTAATAGCTGTCCAGGGTGCACCCACAGCCTATTGATTTCCTGCCAGCTGGCCCTATTAAATATACAAGGTACAAGTTTTGCAGTTAAACATGGAAGAGTTTTATAAATGCCTTTTATAGCTGACATTCATAAAACTTTCCATGTTGCCAGATGGGGAAGTAAAGGGGAAATTCAAAAAGCTGTTTTGACTTAAGGATCCTTGAGGTGGTGAAGTTTGAGAACAGTGTTTGAATCTTTGCTCTTGAGGTGGATAAAGAAATGTTTGGGCCAAAAGCCTGATTTTATTGAGCCTGGGTTTGTGGTTTAGCACTATCAGACAGATGTTTCTCACTTGGGGAGTCCCAGAATCCCAGACTGGTTTGGCTTGGAAGGGACCTTAAACTCCACCCAGTGCCACCCCTGCCATGGCAGGGACACCTCCCACTGTTCCAGGCTGCTCCCAGCCCTGTCCAGCCTGGCCTTGGGCACTGCCAGGGATCCAGGGGCAGCCCCAGCTGCTCTGGGCACCCTGTGCCAGGGCCTGCCCACCCTCACAGGGAGGAATTTTTTCCCTGATGCCCAACCCAAACCTGCTCTCTCTTGGTTTGGATCCCTCTCCCCTTGCGCAGAGGTCACTGGGAGCCTTTTGCTGGTCTCCAGTGAGGATGGAGCAGCCCCTCATCCTGAGCAGGTGCTGCCCTGTCCCTTCTCCCTCAGCTAAAGGCTGGAGTCCTGTCCTGCTGCCCTGGAGCTGAATGCAGCTGGAAGCTCCAGGTGTCCCCAGGGCTGCACAGTTTATATGCATTAATTGTTGTAGTGACAGTGTTAGTAATAGTGCCTTATGTACTTTACTGTGCACAATAAATTATGGACAAGGCCATCAAAGAAGTTTTTTCCATTTGAGGGGGAAATGTGGGAAATGGATTTGTAGATAATTCCCAAAGCTTGACAGAAGGCTCACACAGTGTGCATTTGTATGTAAACTTTGAGAAATGCTGACTTAGAAATGCCATGGAATAGGACAGACATGTCTGAGAGAGAATGGAACTAGAAACAAGTTTCAAAAGATGGCCTTGCAAATAATATGGATACTTTGGAGAAATAGAGAAATAGAACCATGAAAGATGCATTGTAGTGGGACCCACAAGGGGTAATTTTAGGTGATTTGCTTTAAGGCATTTACAGCATGGTGTGACAAAAGCTGATAGCCAAGAAACATCTATAGTGTATTGTAATTAGGAAATAATTGGCTTCTGATTGTGAGGGTGTGAATTCTAACATCTGTATTGTCTCACCCTTCTCATAAGACTGAAAATGGAATAAGTTTTTAAAATGCCTCTCATTGCCCCCTCTCTGGTCAGAACAAGGCATAACCCAGCATGCAGGGAGGGGGTGCAGGAAGCAGAGGTCACCTGGCTGCAAAACTGAGTGTCAGGAGTGTATTTTGCTGGGCCTTGTTTTCCTTCCAGAGGTGAGTTAATCCAGGAGCTTTTGTGAAGGCCCCTGCACAATTTGCTGCTCTTAATGAACTCTGAGGGCTGCCAGGGGAAAAACTGGGGGGGCTTTTGGAGCATATTTCATGTTTTGGGATGAAGCAGGAAATGATGGACAGAAAACAAGGAGGTGAAAACACAGAATGTCATTGACTTCCTTAAGATGATATTTAAGGGCTGGATGAACCCCTCATGCTGATAAAGTAAGAAATGAGGAGGAACTCCATGGGTCTTCCAGTGCTTGGGTCTATTTACCTGGGTTGGCTTTTGCTGTTTTCCAAGAAAACAAAATATGGGGACAATGAACCAGATAAGGTTGGCTTCCCACCCCTGTGTGACCCAGCAGTTCCTCAGATGGAATCTGGGGTTTTTCCCGTGCAAACTGCTTGGGTCAGGGGGATTAAAGTCTGGGAGATGGCCCAGATCCCCCGGGAATGCATCCCTGGGACAGGGCAGGGTTCCTGCTCTCTTTAGGGGGTTTGGAGGAGCCTGCCCTCATCTGTCCTGGTACCAGAGCACCACACAAAGATCAGGGTAGAAACAAATTCTGTCCTCAGGGTGGTGCTTGGTGCCTTTGAAATGAACTAAAAATGGCCTGGGACCTCCCTTGTCCAGAGCTTGTGCAGCTGTGGGCAGAACAGGAGCAGAACCAGTTTCCCTTTCTTTACAGAGGTTTTTGCAGACATTATTTTGGCTCAGAAGCCTTTCACCTGTGCTTCAAAATATCTGTATAGAGTGTGATATTATGCACAAGGCCCATTCCTCCCTCTGGGAGCCCAGAGCCTGCAAGGAGAGGGGTGTAAGAGAGGTGTTCAGGGGTGACACCCAGAGGCTGGGGCAGCAGCAGGAGGTGCTGAGCATCTTTTGTTGCTTTGAATGTTTGTTGCGGATTCATATTCCAATAAATGTTGATGATGCCAAAGTCCCCAGGTGGCAGGTGAGTTCCCCAGGTGGGTTCCAGGTGGCAGTGGGTGACTGTGCCCTCTTCCCTCAGGCACCACACGAACCCCGTGGGCACCGAGTGGCGCTGGAGCATGGACCAGCCCGAGCAGATCCTGCACGAGGCCCTCGAGAAGCACCAGAACATGATCAGGCAGTTCAAAGGTAACTCCTGCTCTGTCCCACCCCTGGGCTCTTGGGGGATAACCAGCAGTGACACAGGTGAGTGTCACAGACACATTTTATGGAAAATCCTTTATTTGGGATTTTTCCTCCTGAGAGGCCTCAGGAACAAAATGTAAACATTGATTATCTGCTGCTGTGGAATGCAACCGGTAAATCTGGGATTGGCCTCATGTGGTTGTTTCTAATTAATGGCCAATCACAGTCAGCTGGCTTAGACTCTCTGTCTGAGCCACAAACCTTTGTTATCATTCCTTTTTTTTCTATTCTTAGCTAGCCTTCTGATGAAATCCTTTCTTCTATTCTTTTAGTATAGTTTTAATATAATATATATCATAAAATAATAAATCAAGCCTTGTGAAACATGGAGTCAGATCCTCATCTCTTCCCTCATCCTAAGCCCTCTGTGAACACACTCACAGGTGAGAATGTTCTGCTCCTCTGGGAAGGAGGCCTGAGCTTCAGGCTGTCAGGAGGATGGGGGAGAAGAGGCTGCTGTGGCTCATTAATGTCTTCTGAAATGAGGGTCAGCCGCTGGGAGTGTGCTGTGCCTGGAGGGAGTAGAGCGGAGCTGCCTCTGGTGCATCCTGTAGTTGTCAAATCCTTTCCCTTGGTGTGCACAGAGCCCTCCACAGTGCTTACAGCCAGCCTGGGTGATGGGGGATCCTGGCTCCTCTGGAGGAGGAAGCAAAAGCCATCAGCCTCTTACCTGACAGGACACACACTGGCAGCCCTGACACCCAGCTTTGTGTTACCTGCAACTCCTGGCTGGTGTTTGTCTCATGAATAATGAAACAGCAGCAAGCAGGGGATTTTGATTTTCAGCAATTATTCAGTACCTGTGGTTGAGACTGAAGCTGCAGCTCCACAGCACCTCTGGGAAGCACTGCAGCTTGCTTCCCACAGAAATTCCCTGGAAGTTTGATATAAATTCTGTGTCTGTAGCTGTAGAGAGGGCTGGGGGTTTTGTTTCCCCAATGTGATGATCTGGCTGCTGTGCCAAGGTCAGCTGTGTGTGCTGGCAGGGCTGGCCAGCTTGGCAGGACAGCTCCAGGGCTCTGCTCTCCCCAGCTGCCTTGAGCTGCACAAATGGAGTGGAACAGCCATAAAACCTGCGGGATGGGCCTGGCCTTGGCTGTCATTTTGGGAACCTGATTGTTTAGGTTGGCTGTGCTCAAAGAGGTTCCAATGGATCCAGGATGTGGCAGGCACAAAGCCCTTCTGTCAGCAGAGCAGAGCTGCTCTGCCTCCATCTCTGCAGCTGGATAATGGGTGGAAAAATAGCTCAGGTTGGAGCCCCATGGGCTTCGCTCTCCTCACGTGGCTGCTTTGGAGCAGCAGCTCAGTGAAGCCTCACTCCTGAGCCTGGGCTTTCTTTGGCACTGTCAGACATCCCCTGGGGCAGGGGTGGTGGTGCTGAAACAGCCTCAGCAGCTCTGCAGGGAAACCTGGGGGTGAGAGGCACACTCAGGGCAGGGCTTTACCCCAGGGGCACCTGCAGAAACAGCAGGGCTGAGCCAGTGGATGCAGGGAAGGGCCTGGAGCCCCAGGAGGGGCTGAGGGAGCTGGGCAGGGGCTCAGCCTGGAGCAAAGGAGGCTCAGGGGGCCCTTGTGGCTCTGCACAGCTCCTGACAGGAGGGGACAGCCGGGGGGGTCGGGCTGTGCTCCAGGGAACAGGGACAGGAGCAGAGGGAACGGCCTCAGGCTGGGCCAGGGCAGCTCAGGGGGGATTTTGGGGAAATTTCTCCACTGAAAAGGGAGGCCAGGCCCTGGCACAGGCTGTGCAGGGCAGAGGTGGAGTGCCCATCCCTGGAAATGCTCAAAATTCATGTGGATGTGGCACTTGGGGACACGGTTTAGTGGTGGCCTTGGTAGTGCTGGGGAATGTTTGGACTCTGATGCTGGAGGTTTTCCCAGCCTCAGTTTCTCTGTGCCTCTGAGCACTGGGAGGTTCTGAGGGAGATCAGATCTGTCTATGCTGGAGTCCCACCTGTCTGTTGTCCCTGTCCCCAGAAGAAGGGACAGCAGACTTGGTTTCTGTTTGGGAGGGTGAAGTTACACATCAAAATGAGCTTGTTCAGGCAGGGTGGGGCCTGGAGAGGTGGGACCCTCCTACCCTGGAGGCTTTCAGGCCTCTGGAGAGGAGCCATTACCACCCTGCACTGAGGAATAACCTTCTCATTCCCTGACCCTGCTGTCTTCCCAAAATGAGTTGAGGACAGGGAATGATTATGGAGAGACTTTCCAGCATCTGAAATACTGCTGAAGTGTCAGGGGGCCTGTCAGGACATCCCAGTTCTCTCCTTTTGGAGTCTATTTTCTGTTAAACAAATTCATAAATATTACTGAAAATGTGCCTGTGCATCTGAGCACAGTTACCCTTGACCTGGAACTGTGAAAGGAGAAAGCAGAAAAGCTCTGGACTAGAACTGTGCTGTTAAGTGGGAAAATAAAAGCTGGTTTATTTTTCTAGTGCTAGATGGCAACATTCCTGTCCTAGCTGCTGTGAGGCAAAGGTTTATTAAGGAGAAGAAAAATGGGAAAGAGAAGCCCAGGAGCTCCTGTTCCATGTAGCGAATTTTACGTCATTCTTCCCTCAGGTGTGTGGGGAAGTGTTGTCAGGGTTGAAGCAGCAAGAGCCAAATTGAGGAGGAGCAGAGTGAGTGAACTGAGCTGGGGACAGGCAGAGGTTCAGCTGGGGCAGGATCAGAGTCCCCATGTGCAGTGCCAGGCTGGAGGAATGGTCCTGGCTCCTCCTGCCAGCCCAGCAGCTCTGCACAGACACCAGGGGCCTTTACTGGGAGTGATGTTTGAGAGAAACCCAGCAAAAGCACAGGAAGCACCTGCTGGAGCAGTGAGGTGGCCAGGCTGCTGTGGGGAGGGGAGGAGAGGTCGTGGCTGGGCTCTGTCCCTGTGCTGGCACTGCTGGGGCACCTCCAGGAAAGACAGCAAGGGCTGGAGCACGTCCAGGGAAGGGCCTGGAGCCCCAGGAGCAGCTGAGGGAGCTGGGCAGGGGCTCAGCCTGGAGCAAAGGAGGCTCAGGGGGCCCTTGTGGCTCTGCACAGCTCCTGACAGGAGGGCACAGCCGGGGGGGTCGGGCTGTGCTCCAGGGAACAGGGACAGGAGCAGAGGGAACGGCCTCAGGCTGGGCCAGGGCAGCTCAGGGGGGACAGCAGCAGGAATTTCCCCATGGAAAGGGGGCTCAGCACTGCCAGGGGCTGCCCAGGGAGGTCTGGAGTGCCCATCCCTGGAGGGGTTTATAAACTGTGTGAAATGTGGCACTTGGGGACAGGGGTTAATGGTGACCTTGCAGTGCTGGGGAATGGTTGGATTCCATCTCCATTTCCCAGCATTGATGTGTCTGATCCTGCAGCTCTGGCTGGGCACCCACAGGGACTCCAGAGGTGTCCCAGCAGGGCTCAGGTGTTGGACCCTGGCCCCTGGCATAGACTTTGGGCTGTTTGGGCTTCTGGGGAATCAAAACTCCCTTAACTGGGGAGTCCTCAGGGCTGGAGTGTCTGGAGGTGCTGCTCAGGTACCTCCCTGAGCCTTTGGAATTCATTGGTGCTGCTCTTTCCAGTTTTGGAGGCTTTGCAGGCAGATCCATCCACACACCCATTCCATGGGCCAGAGAAACTACTGAGCTCATCTGGTGCTTTATTCATATTATCCATTGCAGTAAAAATGAGATTTCCTTTGAAGGACCAGAATTCTTGTGTCCCTTTATCCTTTAGGACACCCTACAGGACAGCCCTCATACTCTGGGTGCCCGTGGGTGATGATAAATCCCTTCTGCTTTAGTGTTGCCACAGTTTGTGCTGGCTTTGGAGAGCACAGCCATTAAAGCCCCATCATTCTCTCTTGGATTAAATGATGGAGAGACACCTCACTGATAGGGAGTGAGGCTGCAAAGTTTATTTGATGGATACATTTTTCTGGGGAGTGACTTGTAAATCTCTGTGCCCTTGCAAAGGGCACACACAGGATGGAAACATAACTCAGGAATGAGAGAGTGGGAGTCTGATAATAAAGGGAAAAAGCCAGAAGGAAATGCATGATCTGTGCCAGGAAATCCTCAGAGTACCATGGATCAGCATGGACAGAGCAGGTCTCTCATCCCCCTGGCCCCCAGGCCCTTGAGGTGCTGCTCAGGTCCTTGCAGGGGTGCCAGAGTCAGCCCAGCCTCCCCAGGGTGCTGTGCCAGGGGTGCTGTCTTTGCCCAAGTTAGTGCAGCAGCTGGAATCAGCTTTTCTGCTGGGGGCTGAGGGCAGGAGCAGAGCCAGAGGGATTCAGGAGAGTCCCTGCCCTCCTGCAATCCACCAGTCCTGGCAGTTCATCCCTGCCTGGCTGGTGGTTTGTGTGCTCAAAGGGTTGTGTGCAAACCCACTCCCTGCTCTGGGTGGATGTAGCAGGTTTGGTGTAAACTGTTTTGGGAAAGTTCCCCTCAAACTTTAGGGGATGTTGGGATTTTGTTCTGCTGCTTATAAAGCTGGCAGGCTAATTATGAGAGTCCAGACGAAAAATGCTGAGAGAGAGAAATTAATTAATTGCAAAACTGACTTACAGTAGTTTTAGGAATATGAAAGTTAGTGCTTTAATCTCAGCGTGTGCTGGAGACGCTGCTTTCTTCTCCAATAAAGCTCTCATTTAGTGCTGTCAGCTTTCTATGGAATAACCATTAGTCCTGTCACTTCCTCAGGACTGAGCCTGGCTGCTTGAAAATGCACTGAGCCCTGCTCTGATTCCAAACCAGCTTTGCTACGTGAGGCTGGAGCAATATCCACAAACACCTCTTTTATCTGGGCTTTGCAGCAGAGCTGTAATTTTCTGTTCTGCAGCGTCAAGGCAACGAGAAGGGAGCTAAGGACCTGGATTCACACTCCAGGCTTTGTTTTTTATCTTTAAAACAGACCAGCCCCCAATCTAAAGCCTCAGATAGGATTTGAGTACATCAAGGCACGTCAGGGAAATGTGAAGTGACAGATTGGGAACAAAAGCTTGTTTGGAGGCAGCTGATTTCATCCGGGGTCCTGAGCACCTGGTCAGGTGTGGGTGGGCTGCAGGAGCATCCAGCTCCCCCTCCCTCCTGTGGGCATCAGGAGTGGGACTCAGGTGGTGTTTGCACATGGATGCTACATTGGAGCTGTTTGTGTTTTCCTTCTGAAAGGTCTCTGCCTGTTCAGGACCGTGCCGTGTGCTGGGTTTTCTTTTGATCGCATCCCCTGTGGAGCTGCACGTTCTGTGTTTGCAGTCAGGGCTCAGCACCTTGCTGTGCTTGGGGAGCTGTGCTCAGCTGCCCTTCCTGCATTCAGTCCCTTGCTGTGAAGGGCTCAGCTGCCCTTCCTGGAGCCCACAGGGACCAGCACAGCACAGCCATGGCCTGGGCTGCTTTCCTGACACACCTGCTTGCAGTGGCCTTGAGCTGCCCTGTGTGTTTGTGTCTCAGCACTCAGCAGCCTCCCGAGGCCTCAGCAGTGGGGAGCTTGGCTCAAGTGTTTAATCCTGGCTCAGGTGTCAGCAGCACATTGCTCTCAGCAGTGCCCAGGGCACTCCCAGCCCAGGCTCTGGCTGCTGCTGCTCTGTGGGTGCTGCAGAGCTGCTCCCTGGCCCTGGCCTGGTGTCCCCTGTGCTTTGGGAGGGCTCCAGCTGCTCTTCCCAGCCCTCCTGTGCCAGGTGTGTTTTGGGTACAGATGTTTGGGAGGGGAATTTGTTACAGAACCACAGAAGGGTTTGGGTTGGAAGGGACCTTAAAAATCATCTTGTTCCTTCCACCTTCCCCCAGAGCAGGTTGCTCAGTCCCATGCACTGTTCATGTCAGTGTTGTCCCCTCTGCAGGTGTGTCAGGAGTGAAGGCAGCCCGGCTGGAGGAAGCTCTGGCAGTGAAGCACTGTGCCCTGTCCCTGGTGGGGGAGCCCATCATGTACCCCCACATCAACCAGCTGGTGAGGCTCCTGCACCAGCAGGGCATCTCCACCTTCCTGGTCACCAACGCCCAGTTCCCTGAGGAGATCAGGTAAGAGCTGCAGGAAATCCCTCCTCAAACACTGGAGTGCTGACCTGTGTCCCCATGCCATGCTGTGCCCCTCAGAGTCAGTCTGCACAAGCACTGGCAATGAAAATCCCCCTCAGCGTCTGACTTTAACCTCAATCTCCTCATGCTCCTTCTCAGCCCTTTCTCCCCCTCAGTTTGATTTTTTCTGTACCTCCTTAACAAACTGTGATTGCTGCTGGAAGTGGAGAGGCTGGAATGTGGCACCTGTGGAGGTGTGGCAGGAGGGGAGCAGGGACTGAGCTGTGCTTTGTGCCTGGGACAGGGGTAATTTCTGTCCTGCCAGCCAGAGCAGGGCACTGAGCTCAGAGATTGTCTTTGGGGCTGATCTTTGATCTGACCCCAGAGCAGCAGCTGTGAAGGCTCAGCCCACAGCTCTGCCCAGCCCAGCATCCCCAGCAGGGTCAGGATCAGGAGGGGGACAAGCACATGTCCATCAGCAAAGTGGGATCTGCTTCACCTCCCTCAGGGGGACTTGAATGAAATCTCCCAAACACTTCAATGAACTCTTTCAGAGTCTTTCCAAAGGAAAAGAATCCCTTTTTCTGATGCTTTGGAGCATCCAGGCTGTTGTTACCAAAGTGCAGCACGTGGGGAAATGCAGCTCCAGGGAGGCTGGGGCTGCTCACAACCCCAGCAGCTGAGAACAGCAGCAAATCCAGCCCTGGAGCTGTGGCAGGGTGGCCTTGGTGTCACCCAGCTCATTCCTGCTCCTCTCTGTGCTCCTGGGACAGCTTCCCTTGCACTCATGGTCTGAATCTGGCACTGAGGGGGGAGTGCAGGCACTTTGGGGGTGAGTAATTATACACTACAAAGGCATTCCAAATGATTGAATAATTGTGTAATCAAGTTACTTTAAGTCATGTATTATGTGCCTGGTAGATAGAAATTGCTCTTTCCTAAATATAGCAGTTTATAAAGAGAGCACACACTCTATTTGGAAGCTGCACTTTTCGGATCTGCTGAATCTTTTTAAAAAGAAACAAAAAAGAAGGGGATAAAATGCTAGTCTTGCTGTCTTAAAAATTGCAACTGATCTTTGGCTCATCAAAGCAGATGATTTGCTTAATATGGGAACTGAAGTTGGCACGCAGCTCACTTCTGTGCTGTCAGCAGAGGAGCTGCAGTCAAAAAGTTCATCCTGCAATAGGCAGGGTGACCTCAAGAGAGCTGAGAGGGACTGGGGACAAGGGAGGGAGGGACAGGACCCAGGGAATGGCTCCCAGTGCCAGAGGGCAGGGCTGGATGGGATATTGGGAATTGGGAATTGTTCCCTGTGAGGGTGGGCAGGCCCTGGCACAGGGTGCCCAGAGCAGCTGTGGCTGCCCCTGGATCCCTGGCAGTGCCCAAGGCCAGGCTGGACAGGACTGGGACAGTGGGAGGTGTCCCTGCCATGGCTGGATGAGTTTTAAGGTCCCTCCCAGCCCCTTCTGGGAGAGGGCAGTGTGGCCTGGGGTGTTGCTGGGGTCAGGCCAGGGGCTCCAGTGGGTGCCCCCTGTGCCTTCCTTTCCTCCTCCTCCTCTCCTTGGGCTGCAGCTGAACCTGCCACAGGCTCACAATAAACTGAGGGAGGTTTTACACCAGGTGAGCTCCTATACCTGGCTCCTGTCTCTGACCCATGGCTGTGAACACCCCTCGTGTGTGGGTTTGCCTTTATGATCAACAATAATGCCAATAATGAGCAGATGATTATTAATGCTCATCAGCAGATGCTCATTTGTGATGTTGCTGTTCCTGGTCCTTGTGGGCCCTGTCCTGCCTGCCTGGTGAAGTGGATTTATTTGATGGCACAGCTCAGCTGAAGATTTCAGCTCAGGATTCCTGCCCACACCCCTGTGTAAATGCCATGGATTTGGTCTCCTGGATTTCACCTCAGGTGTCTGAGCTAGCAAATCCATCCTGGTGTCACACAGCTGCATTTGCTGTTGTTCTGCACTGGAGCTGTCCCAGGAGCCCCAGTCTGTGTCCTGGTTCTCACTGCCCCTCTCTCCTTGTCCCCCCTTGGCAGAACGTGCCCAGCTCACCTGGGCTCGATCCCAGCCATGCAGAGCCCTGTGGGCCATTCCTGTTTGGGGCTGAAATCCCTCCCTTGCATCACTTCTAATTCCTTCATTCCCCCCTTGCTGACTGTGAGTCTGGCTCCTGCCTGTCCCTAGGTTTGAGATGATTTTTCTCAGCCCCTCTTTGTTAAGCACCTGCTCCATCTTCACCAGGGCCCCTTTTAATTAAGCAAAGACAGTGCTGAGTAAAGAAGGAGTTTGGCTGAGTATTCCTGGAAACTGAGCACTTCACATTTGATCATTTTGGGCTCTGTGGCTTTGGATTGCCAGTCCAGACAAACTTGTTTACAAAAACTGAAATTTTAACCTGAAACGTTCAGTTTGTTCTGGATTATTTTGTTTTTCTGTCTAAATACACACACAGAGAATGTGTTCCAATGGTTGGTTGAGTGGATTTTTCTGGACACAAAGAGCTCTGGTCAGTCTCACTCTGGCCCGTTCTTGTCCCTGTCACCTTTGGGTGACTGTATTTTTAGGTGGCACTGTTTGGTACCTGAACAATGGCTTCTGATTTCTCCTCATCTCTAGAGAACCAAATGAAGCTGGGGCTGGTGCCTGCTCATTGCAGACTTCACACCAAGCACTCCCAAAATGCTGCCCCCGGACGCTGGGAGCTCTGTGTACACTGTGGTTGTTGATGCTGCAGCCCCAGGGTGGCGGTGCCATGAGGGCTGGGTGTGTGACACTCGCTGCCTTTGTCACCTCTGCCAGGGGAAAGGCTCTGTCCCCATCCTGAGGGGTGTCCCCACCCCTGGAGGTGGCACCCAGTGCCTCGGGCTGGTGACAAGGTGGGCATCAGGCACAGGCTGGGCTTGGTGACATTGAGGGGCTTTTCCAACCTCAGTGATCCTGTGTCACAGACATGTTTTATGGAAAATCCTTTCCTTAGGATTTTTTCCTCCTGAGAAGCTGAGAGGCCTCAGGAACAAAATGTAAACAATGATTATCTGCTGCTGTGGAATGCAACAGGTGCATCTGTGATTGGTCTCATGTGGTTGTTTGTAATTTATGGCCAGTCACAGTCAGCTGGCTCAGACTCTCTGTCCAAGCCACAAACCTTTGTTATAATTCCTTTTTTTTCTATTCTTAGCCAGCCTTCTGATGAAATTCTTTCTTCTATTCTTTTAGTATGGTTTTAATATAATATATATCATAAAATAACAAATCAAGCCTTCTGAAACATGGAGTCAGATCCTCATCTCTTCCCTCATCCTCAGACCCCTGTGAACACTGTCACAATCCTGGCATTCTGAGGGAGCTCCTTTCTAGGCTCTTCTGAATCCCTTTGGTCCTTTTGCTGCTGGGCTGTGGTGTTGCTGCTCCTCTCTTATTTATTCCCTTGGCATTTATGGAAGGGATCAGCCTCCACCCAGGCTCTTCCCACAGCAAAGGAGCTTCAGTTTCTGCAGGAGTTCCCAGTGCTGGCTCCCAGCACTTGTGGCCAGAAGGGCTCTGCTCCAGGATTCCTGTGGAAGGAGAACATGGCTGTGGTTTGTTTGTGGCTTTATTTTCTAAACAGCTTTGCTCTCTCTTCAAAAATGTCACTGATGGTCCTGCTGCAGGTCAGGGGAGTTCAACATGTCCAGCAGTAGGAACTGCCTGAATTAGGGCTGAATTTAGTGTCACAGAATCCCTGAGGTTGGAACATCCCTCCAGGATCATTGAGTTCTAGTTGTACCCAATCCCTACAGCCCAGAGCACTGAGTGGCACCTCCAGCCCTTCCTTGGGCACCTCCTGGGCTCTGTGGGACACAGCCAGCTGTGCTCTGGGGGTGTGGGCTGGGTGTGCTGTGTGACCCCCCCGAGGTGCTCAGCTATGGCAGTGTCTTTGGAAATGGGACCATTTTCCATGTTTAAAGTACCTGCACCACCACCAATTCCACTGCTCTAAACAAGTGAAAAGTGATCACTCAGCAACTGTTGCCTTCCTAAACAGCAGCTGAGAAATCCCAGAAACACTGGGGTAGGAAGAGCCATCCAGGATCACCCAGTGCAAGCTGTGCCCCATCCCCACCTTGTCCCCAGCCCAGAGCACCGAGTGCCACCTCCAGCCCTTCCCTGGGCACCTCCAGGGATGGGCACTCCAAACCCCCCTGGGCAGCCCCTGGCAGTGCTGAGCCCCCTTTCCATGGGGAAATTCCTTCTGATGTCCATTTCTGTTCAATGGATTGTTTTCCCATGGGCCAGAGAGATCATGGAGAAAGGGCACAGCTTTGTGGGTTGCAGAACCTCTCAGTGCCTCAGCTGAACCCCTTCCTTTGGGAAGCCTTTCCCAATGTGTTCAGCCCCACTGGAGTGAGATCTGTGCTGGTGCAGGGAGGAAGTGACAAAGGCATTGACAGCCAAGGCTGTGCGAGAGTTCTCAGCCTTGGGGCTGTTTGTTGGGGTTATAACACCTTGCTGCTGATGGTGGGCCCTTGGCAGAGATGAACCTTCCCTGGAAACACTGCCCAGCTCCTGTTTTTGTAGGAGGGCACAAACTGAAGCTGCAGGTTTGGAAAGCAGCAATTCCCTTTTCCCTTTGCAGGAAGCTGGAGCCTGTGACCCAGCTCTATGTCAGTGTGGATGCCAGCACCAAGGAGAGCCTGAAGAGGATTGACAGACCCCTCTTCAAGGACTTCTGGGAGAGGTTTCTGGACAGCCTGAAGGCCTTAGCTGAAAAGGTACCCACTTAAGGATGGATTTTTAAATGGCTTTTTCCTTCCTTCTACACTCTGCTGACTCACCACCTCTTTTTCTTCCTTCTCACCTTACCTGCTTCTACTTTCTGCAGAAGTAGAAGACTGGAGAGGCTCTAAGATGGACCATGGAGTGGATTCTGGGTGTGTTGGGAGTATATTTCCATGGTTGGGGTGTTCAGGTGTGTGAAGCGCAGCAGGTTTGGGTGGTTTTCCAGAGCAGAATGTGTGTGTCAAATGGGGCAGTAAATGCTGTGACTAAAGGGTGCTGTGAGGGATGAAGAGATTATCACACAATAGATTTCCTAACAAAGGGGTTGCACTAAACACAGGCTGCTGAAGGAAAGCTGGAAATTCAGGGAAGAGTTGTAAATCCCCTGTGTTCCTTTGCTCTGGTTCTCAGAGGCTCCCTTGAAATGGCAGCACATTAAAATGTGTGTGCTGGAGTTTGGTAGCTCTGTCACCCTCCTGCCCCACAGAAATCTGCTTTTTCTGGAAGGTGGAGCCATCCCAGGGGATCTGAGCACAGCAGCAGGGGAGCTTTGCCCTGGGTGTGATGGATCAGCAGTGCCTGGGCCCTGGGTGTGTCAGCTCAGGCTCTGTGTGCCAGCTCTGGAGTCACTGGTGCAGCACTCCTGGGCCCAGCAGCACATGAGGGGGTGAGAACAGAGCCATGTCTGCCTCTGCTCCTGGGCTCTGGTGGCAGCCAGGGCTGTGTTTACTGATCATTGACACGTTCCCTGCTGGGATGGACAGCCAGGAGAGACTGCTGCTTTGGAATAATGAGGTTTTGGAGGAATAATGAGCTTCCCAGCCTTCTCAGGTCACCACCTGAGCATTCTCTGTTGGAGCATTCTCTGCCAAAGGAACTTAGATTAGTGGATGTGTGAGGCTCAGAGGAATTGAGTGGCACTTTGTGCTGCAAAGGCATGTGGGCAGCATGGTCGGGTGTTTGTGTGTGGTGATGCAGCTCCTGTGCAAAACCTCAGGCCAAACACTGAGGGCATTAAAATCAAGTGCAAACAAATTCTCTGTGAGCAGGGAAATCTGTGGGAAGGAGAAGAGCTAAAATACTGAAGGTACAAAATACTGAAAAAGCCTTTTGGGAAGTTGCTTTTGCCCATCATTTCTTTCTTGTGCCTCTCTTGACCCTGAGTGTTCATTACTGGAAGAAGTTTCCTTGCAAACAATTGAAGGTGAAAGTATTGGCAAGTCTGTCCATACAGCTAAAAATACCCTGGTCAAGGTGAAGAGGAGAGGAGAAAGCAGCTCCACCAGCAGGTGCATTTTCTCCTCCAAGCAACTGCACTTTGAAGGGTCCTTGAAACACTGATAACACAAGAGCCAATTAATGGTTGTTCCAGTTGAAGCCCTGCTCAGCTGCACGAGGCAGCAGCACATGTGGGGGCAGGAGGAGCTCTAGGGGAAGCTGCTCTTTGTTGGTTTTCACTTAATCCCAGAATCAGTGAGGTTGGAAAAGCCCTCCCAGCCCATCCAGTCCAAGCTGTGCCCAGAGCACTGAGTGCCATTCCCAGCCCTTCCTTGGACACCTCCAGGTGTGGGGACTCCAGCCCTCCCTGGGCAGCCCCTTCCAGTGCCTGAGCACCCTCTCCATGGGGAAATTTTCCCTAATATCCAGCCTGAATCTCCTCTGGCACAGCTTGAGGCCATTTCTCTTTGTCCCCTGTTCCCTGGGAGCAGAGCCACGAGGTCCCTCCTGAGTTTCTGCAGGCTGAGCCCCTTCCCAGCTCCCTCAGCTGCTCCTGGGACTCCAGACCCTTCCCTGGAGATGCTCCAGCCCCTCAGGGTCTGCACTGTCCTGAGGAGCCCAGGGATGGCTCTGGGTTGGAGGTGCCCCAGCAGTGCCAGCACAGGGGACAAACTCAGGATTCTGGTACCCAAAACCTCCAGGTGCTCCAGGGCAGCAGCAGCAGCTCTCTGTCCCCTCCCAGCTGCCCTGTGGGACTGTCACTGTGGGAGGTGGTGGCAGCCAAAGCACCTGTGAGTTCCTGGGACACGCAGGCCCTTCTCCAGGCTGGCTGTGGAATGCTGCTGCACTGTGCTGGGGAGGTGGTGGTAATTTATCTGGAAACAAATCCAAGCCCCAGTTTTTCCCAGTGCCTGACAATCCTTCCAGGCTGATTCAGTCCTTCCCAGGTGGAGAGGAGCTGGCACTGCAGCTCATCTGAGTCACTGCTGAGCAGTCATGGGCACACTGAAAGATAAAAGTGGGCAAGGGAGTTTATAGGAATGTGAGTTGTACCTGCTGTGGTCACCCTCTGGGGTTTGGGAGGTGCTGGTTCTGCTCCCTGCCTGGGGCTGCAGGGCTGGGTGTGGCAAAATAATCCTCTGCTTTGGTAATCCAGACTGAGAAATGGGAGGGAAAGGAAGAGGGAAGGACATGGTTTTATGTGAGAAATGAGAGAGTGTGTTTGTCTTGGTTGTTCTCTTTCCTCCAGCCAAAGGCCAGGTCCTGTTAAATATGGGAGGGAGGTGAAGATGGGCTTAAAACAACTCTTGCCCCAGTGAGGTGTTTACAGAACTCAATCCTGGAATGGTTTGGGTTGGAAGGGACCTTAAACTCACCCCATTTTAACCCCTTCCACCTGCCCACACTGCTCCAGGCCCCATCCAGCCTGGCCTTGGCCCAGTTATGCTGATAATGGATTTCATGCTTTTAACTGAACTCCTGCACAAAGTTCTTGAGCCTCAGTAAAAGGGTGAATTTAATAACAAATTGTTCCCAGGATGATCTGACAAGCCTCATCCAGCATGTTGGGGATTAGTTGCTACATCCATTTTCAAAGGAAGCCCAGGAAGAAAAGATAAAAAGCTTTTGTGCTATTTCTCTCTGCAGCAAACAACATGAGCCCCCCCTTTGTCCAGTGCTACTTGGAGCAAGTTTGATCCTTTCTGGAGCTGCTCTCATTGAAATGATCTTCATGTTACATTTTCTGTGCTGAGAAGCACTTTCTGAGAGAGGAGTTTATGTTAAACAGCAGGTGGACTCCCAAAGGCTCCTTTGTTTCTTGTCCTGATTCCTCTGCCCCTGAAATTAAATGTAGAGGGAAAGGAAAGACAAGAGCCTGTGCAATTTAGGCTGTGCCCTTCCAAACACCACATTTGAGTTTTGGAGCCTCACCCTCTGACAGCCTTGAGTTTGTAAGAGTGATTGAGAGATGGCTTGGCTTGACAGATGAGTGCTTGGAGCAGGCACTGAGGATGTGAATCCTTGTCTCATCATCAGGATGAGAAATCTCTGCTGAAAGAGATTTTGATGTTTCTTCCAGCTATTGCTGCTTCCTGATCCATACCCAGTGAGGGACGGGCTGCAAACCAATGAGGAGGGCCCAGGGGGAGATTGTCCATCCCTGGAGGTTTTAGTATCAAGTTGATGCTTTTTTCCCAAAATACCTTTAACCAGATGTGCTGAGCAAGAAAACAACCCATGGTCTGTGAGCTCTCATCACTCCCCCAGTCAGATTTGGGATCCTCTGGTGTTTGATTTGGGCTCTGTTTCCCTCAGGGTGACTGGACCAAGTTCTGTAGGCTGAGGAACTTTGGGAATTTGTCCTGGTTGTTGTCCATAAATCACCAAGTGTTTTCCCAAGCAATAGGGGCATTGGCTGGGGCAAATTGGAATCTCCTGCTGAGAACTGGAATGGGGATGCAGTGACCCAGTGTGACAAAATTCTTATGGATTTCTGCCCAAACACTGGGAAAACAGGATAGAGGATGGTGTTGGCAGAGAAGCACATGTCCTGTTCATGGTTCACATCCCTTGGCAGCAGCTCTGGGGGGGATTTTTGCCTGCACAGAACCCCAGGCTGGGCCAGGCTGGAGGGGGCGCAGAGGGTCCCTGGTGGCACCTCCGTGCTCAGGCAGGGCCATCCCAGAGCAAGGGCACAGCATTGTGTGCACAGGGCTCTGCAGGATCCCCAATGCTGAGGGAGACTCCAGCCCCTCCCTGGGCAGCCTGCTCAGGGCTGGGCACTGCCCAGGGCACAAGTTGTGCCTCCTGGGCAGGGGCAGTGCTGGGCTCAGGCCCTGCCCGTGGCTCTGGTGCCGCTGCTGGGCCTGGAGCAGAGCCTGGGCCCTGCTCTGCCCCTCCCTGCACACAGGGACAGCCAGGCCTGAGGGCCCCTCTCAGCTGGGGCTCCTCTCCAGCCTGAGCAGCCCCAGCTCCCTCAGCCTTTGCTGGGCACAGAGATGCTCCAGGCCCTCCTCATCCTCACAGCCTGAGCTGGCCCTGCTCCAGGAGCTGCTGTCCCTGCTGTGCTGAGGATCCAGAGCTGGACACAGCACCCAGAGCTGCCCCCAGGGTTGGGCAGGGGTCAGGATCACTCCAGAGGTGCCCTCAGGGCTGGGCAGGGGGCAGGATCCCTCCCTGACCTGCTGGGAAAGCTCCTCCTGACCTGGGTGAGCAAAACAGCTCTTGAATAAGTGGCTGCTGGTCCATGGGTGTCCATGGGCTTGCTGAGCTCTGGCTGAAGGTCCTGCTGTCACTCATGCTCTGAGGAACATCTCCCAGCCCTGGTGTGGTGTCACCTCCTCTGTCTGTACCCCTTGAGCTCCTCATGGTGAATCCTGGCCTGGCAGGACTGGCTGTGCTGCCAGAGCCAAGCAGGGCTGAGCTGGCACCTGCCAATGTGCCAGTGTCCTCTCAAGCAGCCTGGAGCTGTGCACAGAGCAGGAATGAGCCCTGCAGGTTAATGGGATGGTGTGGCACTGCAGGAACTGATGATGGAGCAGAACCTTGTCCTTCCTTCCTTCCAGGAGGGTCACAAAGCAGAGGAGGCAGGTGATTGGCACTGCCAGGAGCTCAGGCTGTGCCTTTGGACATCACACACAGCTCTGCTGCAGATCTGGGTCTCACCTTGCCCTCACTCTCTTTGTGCTTCAAGGGGATCAGGATTTCCTGGAGAACCAGGGCCAGGGCTCGCTGGGAGAGGTGGAGCAGACACCTGGGATTTTTCCTTTATTAA